TCTAGATTCCACATGAAGCATTGCGGTGAAGCCCTGGCTGCAAGGCACTATACATGCTGCAACAAACCTGGCTTCCACTTCCTCGGCGGCAAATCAGAAACTCATGTGCAGCCGAAGCGATATTATGCCACTGCATGTTCTTAGATTGTGTTTCTTCTCGTCATAAGCCCATGGAGCTCGCCTGTTATTACAAAGTAGCTGCTTCCATGCACTGGGAAAGCCTATGCGGAACAGTGGCAGCGGTGTGCGGGTCATGCGTCCGTGCGTCCGACAACATTCCATCCGGCACGCGCGAAACCACATTTAGCCCGTAATCATACGCGCAACCTGGTAAAGAAGTACTTAGTTACAGTTCTGTGAAAGAAAGAACCCAAGCCCCAGGGCTAGTGACTAGTGCTCATGTCAGCAGGCCCGGAGGGAAGTAAGTAAGAGCTTAGGCTCGGGCAGAAGTCTAGAAGAGAATCTCATACGCACATGTACTCCGGAAAATCTTCTTCGACGGCACCTCTTACCTCTAGACTCTAAGATGAGCCAAATGCGCCGAAACTAGATGGAGGTCCTCGACGATCTGGGAATCTACACGGTCTTGCGCCCTCGAGCGGCTATCGTCGTTGGATCCTGTAGTGCAGGAGAGGGCGGTGAAGAGCTTCGCATACAGATTTGCATTTTTAGAAGGCTTCCGCCACAGTTCGGTATAGGCTGGCAAACTGCCTGAGGCACTGTCGCAAGTGCTTTCAGAATGTTGGAATACGTTTTTCACCGGCAACCGGAACCAGACAAAACCGGAACTTGCAAACACGAGCAGCCCATTCAGTGTTCAGCAATTACGAAGGCCCCTTGATCATAATGCCCTGCTAGGGGGCAAGATGCTCTGCTCAAAGGCCCCGCAGTTCAAAGACTTTGGCCGAAACTGTAGCCTAGTCCGTCCCTAAGGCTGTGTTCTTCGTTTCGAAGTTCACACCGCTCGCATAATGCCTTCGGCAACTCATAGACAACAACTGTTCAGAAGAGACAATCCTCCCAAAATCTGGCTCCCCGTGGTTCCGGGTACCTCCAATCTCCTGTGGCAGCAGGGCAGCAGCCAGCAGGGTTTCACAAGACCAAAGAAGGGCCATCCTCTGCTTTCAAGCTCAGCAGGGCTTCGAGGGCTTGGAATCATGGCTGAAAACATGTCCGCTCTGTTCCTGCGCTTTTGGTGAATCCGTTTCTCTTAAACCGAGCGGTCATGAGCTACATAGCTACAAGTCCACCAGCTACCCCGTGAGAATTGATGGTGCCATACTGACAGTGCAAGCGAAAGAAGCAGAAACTAAGCCCAAGCATCAACTGCACGGCTCGTGCGCCAGCATTGCACGCCTGCAGCAAGGAAGCTCCGAACGGCTTTGCTCTTCAATCATAGCAACAGGACTCACAACGGTCATGGCGCTTACAAGGTCGATTGGAAGCTAGGGTTATGTCGTCGCCATCGAACCGGTATAAACAGAAATCGGAGCTGCTACCAACAAGGTATATAGCGACTGGAAGTGTACTGGTAAGAAATAATGGCAGCCTGTATCAACTATATTGCGCAGCAAATGAACAGTCTCGCCATCACCTTCTTCATCATCATGAACATCTTGTGCTTCTCTTCATGTAAGTCGCCATGGCCATCATCACGATCACCATCATGACCACCACCACCATCTTCAACAACAACAACATCACCACCAGCATTGTCGTCAGCAGCAGCAGCAGCAGCAGCCTATAACGACCGCCAATATAAGTGAAATAGTCTGCCGGTCCACACAGCTCGCTGACAGCTACGCGGCCAGACGGTTATTCCTAAAGCACTCAACTCAGTGATCAACCCCTCTGGATTCCCGGATCTTGGGCACTGTGTTCCTGGATCAGAACCGAATGGTTCTACGAGGACTCAATCCCTCCCAAAGCTTTTCGCCTAACCCCAAAATTCAACCAATTCAGTCTGGTTTTGCTCTGATGACCCGAGCACTGGTGAACCACGGAACACCGAAAGGACACTTCAGATTCACATCGATGCGAGCACCAATATTCAACCATGCCCGACATTAAGTCACTGAGACCCCAGTGCTGCAGATACCTATCCAATGGAGCCGCTAGTGCTCCAATAGTCAACCCTGGGAGCATCTTGGTCACGGAGCAGAACACTTTCCAAACAGACCCCGCATGCACAAAGCAGCAGTCGCTTTAAGCTTAAGGCATGTGCTGCACTGGTCCTGAAACAAGGCCTGGCTGGGCTGGTATTGGTCAAGCGTCAAGAGGACCGAACCTTGCGGTCGCAGCTGTGCACAAACTCCAGCTGCTTAAGGCAATGCTTCCAGTGTTACATTGCTGTTGCGGTTCCTATAATTGGGTGCTCCATAATCTGCACTGGGCTGCTCCAAAATAAAAACTGATGTAGACAGGTGTAAGGGTACTATCACTGACTACCACTTACCTTCAATTACCTTCATGCACTGAAGCGTCTTCACTGGCGAGGCTGCCAACAAGAGGAGGTGCGGTGACTGCTCGCCTGGCACAAAGCGTGTTTTGCCTTGCCACGGCCAACACCGCCGCCTCGCGATCCTAAACCCCAGTTAACAACAACCTCGAACCCGAAATCCGAAATCCTAACCCTAAACCCTTTTACAAACCCGAAACAAACCCCAAGAGACTCGACGGAATTCAAGAGCTCCACTGAGGCCGAGGGGCTCACCAGGGGCCCCAAACACACCCCGAGGCTCCTCGGCCAAAAGACGGTTGAAGAACTGCGGATAGTTGAACTAGAATTTATATGGAGTTATCAAACTGTACGAGATATACTAAACTATAATATAGTAATTTAGTATGCTAGCTATAGCATATTACAGTCAAACATGTTAAGATATTGGGGAAGACAATTTCCCCATGTTTCATCCGCAATGTTTAGGCAGAACTGGATCTCCAATGGTCCTCATGTGTGATGCGCGGAAAAGTTTCTTGGCCCCATGAGTTCCAATGAGGTTCAGGAGCTTCGACTCGCACACTCGCGACAAGTCAGAATCTCCAGGATGGTAGCTTCAGGCAACGGGGTGGTACCACTCACTCTCGGACACGCGGACAAACCAGGTGGCGCAGGGCCTGCAACATGAACAGTAGGAAGCATGCAGGGTGTTTTTGTGTGTGTGTGTGTTTGTGTGTTTTTGTGTTTGTGTGTTTGTGTGTGTGTGTGTTTGTGTTTGTTTTCTCAGGACACAAAACCAGAAAGCGGCACCAAAGCTCGGAAACACCATCCTTGCTGCCGTGCCGAACTGCGTCCCTCTTGTCCACTCTTGTCTTCGCTGACAGCGTTGCAAAATCGTGTGCGGTCGCCCCTCTTTTGTCGAGAGTCCATCAATTTGCAGCGATCGTTCGTAAGAGCTAGTTGGACCGCTTGCTGCTCGAAACGCTGCTCGTCTGGACACGCGACCTCAAGACATCCAAAGACTGCTGGTTTGTGAAAAATCTCTTCGATTGAGGACCTGTCCACGTTGAGATGATATGAAATGATGATGCGAGCTGCAATGCAGGTCCCCGTGTTCCGATACGCCAAGGCCTCTGCAAGCTGCGACCGAGGCGCATGGCCAAGTAGAGGCCGATGGACAGACAAGGTTTCTCGGCAGAGGCGGCATACTGGTAAACCTTGGGAAGAGCTGCCGTAGTGAATTTACTCTACTCAGCAAGTCGTGAAGTCAAACAACTAATTACTCGAAACGAGCCAGCTCGTTGTCGACCTGATCCCTTGACTCCCTGCACGACGCTGGAGTCGAGGCACCATGGTGCTCAGTGGCACGCCATATATCATCAGCATCATCCCTGCACCATTGCGGGGGATCAGGTAGACTCCGGGTATGTGGGGTCTCATGGGCTCTGCGAACTCTGGTGGCAGGATTTCTGGGACAAGTCTAGGCTGTCTAGGTGCTGCCCCAGCCCTCCAACCTCCACAAGATCGCAACAGAATTGTAGATCCGAGGACAATCTCACCTTAGTCATGGAAAAACATATAACGCCCAGTGCCTGGGTTATGTTCTAGACAAGTCACTCGACCAAGCGTTGCATCGATGCAGTACTGGCACGAGAGACCATGTAAAAAGTGCCTGCAGGTACCTCGGGCTCGAAACAGCGGGTCTCTCTTCTTTCTTTCGCCAGGGCTATGGACAGCGGGTCTCTTTTCTTTCAGCAGGGCTAGAGGCAGAGGGGTATGGACAGCGGGTCTCTCTCTCTCTCTCTCTTCCCCTTTCTTTCGCCAGGGCTATGGACACCGGAGTTGCCCCCTGTGCCCGCGCGCTGTGGCGCCCCCGACCGTTTTGGAGGGGCTTGAGTGACGCAACTGCACCACGAAGGCTAGTATGCTCGACGCCTGCAAGTAAACCAAGGAACAAAAGATGGAAGTATGCACACTACGGGAAGTTTCCCCGGCATCGAACATGATAGTCTTCCCAGTCAATGAGCAAGCAAACTATGATCAGCTCACCTAAGCCGGTGAAGAGAGCAACAACAACAAGAAACAATTAACAGGAACGATGAGCAATATAGCTGTCCATACAAGTGCAAGAAGATGTACCCTCCCGCTTCAATGGCTGATCGCAGGGTGGACGCTAGATTGCGCATCCACCTTCCAAACTGCACGTGGAAATCAGCAAGGCGATGAGCAGGCAGGACCGTTGAGGCATCAGAGCATAACGGGACAAAAGTGCTGCAAATATAAAGCCACGGCACGTAAGATCCTTCCTGCGACTCGCACTTGGCATGAACTGGCTTCAGAAGGCTCCCGAGGTACTCTACTGAACCAGAAACGGCACACCATCTGAAGAGACCCACACTCCGGACCCCCAACCTGAACCAGCCAAGGCAACCTACTGAAGACAAGCGAACCTGAAGTCCGAATGTTAGGGGAGCACCGTTCTCCCGCACAAAGCTTCGGAAGTTCAGCCGCCAGGGGTTTCCCCCGGTGGGCCTATGCTCTCCCCCGCTTTGAGGAAGCTTCAGTATTCGTCGGCAAAGGAGCCATGCATGCGGCGGCGTCGGTGGGATTCCCCACTCAGTCCATCTGACTCAGTAGGCGAGGTAACCCCCGCGGGGCCGCGTTGTTCATCATCATCGTTGGGGTCACGGGCATCCAGCGGCGGCGGCGAGAAGGGAACAGTGGCCACGCATGAGTCGCCATCACTGTCCCTTCCTTCTTCAAGCTGTTCTGCGGAGGGGAGGCCTCCACCTCCTTCATCTCTGCCCGCAACTGTGAGCATAACTGGTTCCCCCCAGAGTGCTGAAGTCCACTGGAATAGCATGGAATGGGCATCTTGTAACATCGCTGCTGCTTCTTGCTCCAGGAAAGGCATGAGCCTTTCGATGATTTGTTGGGCTCTGAGGATCTGGTAAGGCGTTGCTTCCGCCTGCTGTGCTCCTTCCGTTTCGGGGGGCAGCTCCCCGATCCAGCGTGGTACTCCTCGGTGTTCGGGGTCGCAACCTGCATGAGCTCGAGGGAGTGCAGGTAGAGGTCGGCTGCCATTCGTGTCTCCAGCATCGTGACATGGTCGGCGAGGTTCCAATGAGATGCGCGCTTGTTTGGGATGGGGCTGTTCACCCCCTTGCTGTTCCATGTGTTCCCCACTACGAGCCAGGGGCTTGCGGGGATTCCTTCCGAAGTCCGGTTGCTGGTTGCTGCCACTTGGTCGCTCCCCGGTGTTGACAGGGGATGGGCTCCCCGGATCTTCAGCAAACCGTCCACGAAGCCACTGCACCAACTCCTCCATGTAGTTGGCACACCGTAGGGTGGCTTGGTGTGCAACTTCGATGGCTTCTCCCATAGTAGCAAGACCACCTTCTTCGGTTGCGAGGTTGGCGAAGACAACAGCATCGATGGCGTTGCCAGATGCCGCTAGACCGGGTAGGGCTCCCGGTGCTTTTGGATCCTTGGCCCACTTTTTGAGCATGGCTCGACTTTCCTCCAGCATAGTTTGGACCCTCGCAAGCTCCTTTCGCACATGCCGATGTGGCAGTCCCTCGTAGTTCTTTGCTAGATTGCTCAGTGTAGCTTCGATCTCCGAGAGGGGGTTCGCCATGTGGAAGGAGACCGTCATATGCTCAGGCAGCGATTGTTGTGAATCACTGGGGCCCAAAGGTTCTGGTGGTCTCTCCCCAGCGGCGAGGTTAGCTTTATGTAGGTCGGCGAGTTTGTCGAGGTAGAAGGCAGCATGGTATGCCATGTGTGTGAGGTATTGGCTCTGCAAGTTGAAGCTATGCTCTAGGATTTCCCCCAGGATTTTGTCCAGGATCTCCATGAGGCCTTGCATCGTAAACCCATGTGGGAAATTATATGTCACCGTCATCCAGTCTGTTGGGTGAGCTTCGGCGGGATCGTCACCTTCGGCTCTGGCGTGTGCAGGATGACGTTCAGGTCGTTCAGGTCGTAGTGGTGGTGGTAGGGGAGGTCGTTGCACGAGGGCCACGTACTCTTCTGTGTCGCCATAGTCAGCAACGCCGCTCAGCTTTTCTATTCCCCCAGGCACTTGCAGTAGCGCTGTTCCATCGTCCATGGCTTCTGGAGCAGGCGGGTCCTCGCTGGGCCAGCTAGTCTCTGATTCCGAACCTGAAGAGGGTTGTGGTGGAGGTGGTTTGGCTTTGGGCGTAGCCTTGACTGACGGACGTACTGGACGGGAGCCCCCTGCTATTCCTGCTCCATGTTCCCCATGGGGAGTGGCAGTGCTTTGCTTTGGTTGTGACAGAGTACTGGCTGCTGCTGCGCTGGCAGGGTCTTCCCCTGCTACAGGCCTTGAGCTTTGGCCTCGAGAGTGGTTTCTCCTTTGTGGAGGCGTTGGTGGCCTGGGCTGTGGGTTGGGGGGCACGGTGGAGTACCCACCGAGCTGTTTGATATCCCCGCTGAACCTTGGTCGTCTTACCCACTCTCTTTCCGAGCCCATCCACTCGAGAAAAAATGTCTGTCCAGCGGAGAGGGGCAATTCCCCTTGGCCAGCCGTAGGCGATGATTCGACCTGCACTAACCAAAACCTCGGGGTGCGTGCGAATGTAAGTTCGAACCTCGTTGTGGATATCCATGGCCCCACGGGTCTCAGGGTAATACACACCCCGGATGCCAGAGCTGGCCCCTTGGGAGGCGTATTCAGTGGCCTATACGCCACTATGGTAGGAGCTTCCACGACACGAGGCGGGTGACGTATAACATCGCCTTGAGTAGGCGTCCATACATGTCCTCGCCATGCTCCAATGGCACTGCCTTTGAGCGTGAGGACATTGTGCGGGGCCAGGGGGATCGATGGCGGAATCGTCGGGGGGCCCGCCCCCGGTGTCCATGCAATGTCAAAGCTGATCTCTCCCACTCGTATGGACGAGCGCATGGTCGACTCATGCCCCACTATGTTCCATCCAGGTGCTTGTCCTTGGGAGATAGCCCGGTTGGCTTCGATGTCAAGGTCCGTTGTGTCGAGCGGATCAACGGTAGTGTTGCGGGGTTGACCCCCAACGTTCGTAATTGGCGATGCCGAGCTGGAGGGTGTAGTAGCTGAAGTCAGGTGAGCTGGCTGAGCAAATAGTGTATCCCCCTGTTCAACACCTTCACCTGCTGAGTCTGGGTTCTGCATATACAGAGGTCTGTTGTCCACAATACGGACAGGATAATGGCTGACCCCATCTCCTGTGAGCTGTACGGTGGTGCTGTCCGTGAGCTTCCTCAAGACGTGCTGGGTACGCGTAGGTTTTGGTGGATCTTCCCGGTGGTCGTCAGGGAGACTGAAGGAGAGGCGTCTCTCCTGCACGCCGGGGTCGGGGGCGCGTCCCCTTTTGTCTTGCTCAGCTTCTCGTGGTTGTTGTTGCCACTGGCTTTGTTGAGCAGGTTGATCCATCGCGACGGCACGGGAGACCGCCTGTCCTTGGGCTCTTCGTTCAGGTGGTAGTCGATAAGGATTTGTAGCTTGTCGGTCATAGTGGTCCTGGCGGGCTTGGGCCTCGGCCTTGCTCCCCGGTTCCTGCGGGCGTGGTGGTGGTGCATCTTGTTGTTCATCTCGTTGAGGATCACGTCGAGGCTCAGTGCTTGGTTGCGGTCGCGATGATGCTTGTGGATTTAGAGAGGACGACGGCGCCTGTCCAGGTCCGAGGGGAATAATGGCTCCTGAAGCATCCCGAATGTATTGGTGGGCCGACAAAAGATTGGCGAGCCTTGCTTTATCAGCAGGGGTCGGGGTCGAGCTGGGACGCTTGGCAGGGGGCTGGACTCCCCTCTTCAGCCAGCCTAGCGCTTCACGCCATGACAACCAAGCTGGCTTGTCGCCCCAGTCCCTTTGCCTCCACAAGCGCTTGACATCGCTTTTCTTTTGCTTGTTTTTGACGCGCTGCGATCCATGCCCGGACTGGCGCTTTTGTTGCTGCTGCTGTGGCTCCTTCTGGGGTCTCCCCCGCTGCTGCTGCTGCTGCTGCTGCTGCTGCTGCTGCTGCTGCTGACGTGCTGGTGCTTGCGATGTCGGCACATCGGGGAGTTCCAAATCTTCATCGTCGCTTACATCGCTATCCCATTCCATGTCCTCTTCGTCTTCATCGTCCAGAGTCAGTTCTTCTTCCGCTGCTGGTTCTTCTGGTTCTTCAGTGTCTGCATTCGCCATCTGTTCCTCTGGGTAGTCGTTCGAGGCGTTGTGTTCGATTGGCTTTTCGATCAGTGGCTCCAAGTTGCGTGGTTGCTGCCCTTCATCCTCGCCCTCTGCATGAGCTTGTTGTGGTAGAAGTCCTAGTGGGGTGTTGCCACCGTCATTGGGGGGGGCGTGCACCGTCGGTTCTCCCTGAGAAAGGTCCTCCCCTTGCAGCTGGTCAACTTGACAAGCTAGGCTGAGTTCAGGCTCCGGTTCTTCGGCCTGGCCCTGGTGGAATTGCTCGACATCCTCCATGAGGTCGGCGGGCATCTGTGGGACGGCAGTTGCAGGTGGTTGTAGCCCAAGCGCGTTGTTGTGCGCCCATTGGTCTGGCGGCAGCAACGGTTCGGTGCTTGCCAGTTCCCTGGCAAAAGTTTGCCATGGGTCCATGGTGGGTGGCTGTAGCATGCCTGGTTGTAGGACAGGTTGATCGTGCGGGCGATGAGGCGGTGGTAGATATGGCGCCATGGGGTTGTGCTGGAATTCGTCTGTGCCGAGTTGGCCTTCTTCATGCCAGGGGTCCGCTGCCGGGTCATAGGTGGTGGCATATCCCAGTCTAAAGGTAGAGGCCGACCCGGTAGTAGGCGCGGTCATCCCCTGTGCTGGCTGCGACGCGTCTGCAACATCATCCCAGGCCGACCAAGTGTCCATTGACATGTGTTGCTGAGTTTCCTGCAGCAGTTGCACTTGTCCCGCGGAGGAACAATGCGGGCCTGTGCTTTGGCACGGCTCATGTGGTTGAAGGTAAGGTTGATGACCTTGAGGATAACCATGCCCGTGAGGAAGTCCTGGATCACGTAATGGGGGGAGTGCACTGGGTTGAGAATCTCCAGGATGTAGTTGTTGCTGTTGCTGGTGAGGTCGGCGTTGTGCATGTTGTTGATGATGTGTTCCTGAGGAAGTTGCCGTAGAGGATCTCGGCGAGCTTGTTGTCATAGGAGACGATGAAGTTATGTCCTGCTCCTGAGTGTTGCCCAAGTTCGCCTTTGGTGGGGGGTCGCAACTAGCCTGTGGCTCACAGAGTGGGTGGAGCTCCACGTGGTGGGTGACAGGGAGGTTCACGACCTCCTCGACGGCCATTGTTAGGGTCTCTGGCTGCAGGGGTACCCCCCCTTGCTCGGCGGTCATCTCCGTGTGCTCGCCGTGTATGTCTTCCTCTTCCGGTGGGGCTAACGGCACATCATCATCTGTAGCACTGTCATCACTGGACTCGACATAGATGACCTCTGTTGTAGATGCAGGCTTGGGCCCAGCACTCCCTTGCCAGAACAGGCCGTACAGCAACGAAATGATCAGAAGAAAGAGGATCCTTCCTCTTCCACACTTCGCAGGGCTGTGGTGCTTCATGATTGTACAGCACGGATGACAGGCCCGGTCGCGCCTGATTGTCGTGCCTAAGTTGAAGGGCAGTGCCCTCACCTGAGCCATGCAACGAAGCGGAGTGGGGCATGGCATGGGTGTGAAAGCCTGGCACCTCGAGACCGGATTCCATGCAAGCTGGGCTCATGCACGTTCAGGCCTTAAGCTTCGCTCGAGCGCTGATGCACAACGGTAAACCTTGATTGCAAAGCATGTCTGGCAGGCACGGGCAAAAAATGCAGCAACAGGGACGATGCAGGGGGGCAACCACTAGGGGAAGGGCACCTACAACACTGGACCCTGAGAGAGTGACTGAAGTTTTGCACACCCGGCTCAAGGGCTACGAAAGTGCCAGAGGCAGCTTGCGGTACATAGTGTTGCTGTACAGGTGGCCTATTGTGCCAGCATGTTCGTGTTTTGCACACGGTCCCGCATCGGAGCAAAATCTGGTCAGGCTTGCCAGCGAGTCTGTAGTGTAGAGCCAAAACTCTCGCAGGGAGAACGAGGCATCGTGCTCATTCGCTCTCGGGGTAGTCAAGAATGACCCCTGAGTCGCCCTGGAGTACTCCTTGAGGCCATACGTCTGAACCTAGGGTGCTGTTGATTCCACGCCGTGCAGCAGAGCTGAAGCATATGGGGCTCTGGATCAGTGCAGACCCTCTCCACGTGCTCAGCTGCGCTCTGCGGCTGTCTTCCACTGTTGGCAGAACGAAGCCCAAAGCTCTCAGTACTTCCATGGTAGCAGACGGGGTGCTTCTCCACCCTGATGGCGTCCAGGCAACAAGAACGTGCCTAGGGGTGCGTCCCCTAATACTGCAATGTCTCAGGGCCCTAGCGCTGATCTTGGAGGCGCCTCGGAGGATGGTTCCCCAGACTAAGTCGCCCGTTGGCATTTCCAGGGCAGCAGTTCCTTCAGGGTTTTCGATCCACGTGCCCCCTTGCGGGCAAGACTGCAACTCAAAGATCAGATTCGGGAGCCAGTCATTCTGTTGATCACGGTGTAAGGGAAAGTCGGGATCCCAGAGGATTGCCATCGCGAGGAAGGGACTCCCTGGGAACTGCTCCCTCAGCAAAGAGGCGAGAAGCTTGGTAGTGTCGGCGTACAAGCGCGTGTGTTCGTGAAGTCCACAGCTGACACGAACGTAAAGACCCAGCTTAAGCGAACGCTTGTCAAAACCCTCAGCAAGAGTCTGCGCCAGTAATTGACAGGCTGCTAGTGTGTTAGAGGGGCCATGGCACAGAATGTCACTAGCGGGGTCCATTAGCTGAGAGGACCAAACTCTTGAGCCGGCATTGCCTCGCTGAAAAAGGGTGCGGATGGAATGCTGCAGGAAGGGTTCCTTGGGAGACAGCATCGAAGGAGAGTGAGACCAGCAAATGACAAGGGGAAGGGGACCTAAACCCCAGGGGGGGGGAGTGGAGAGGCGATTGCAGATTCACGGAGGAACAGCTGCTTGTGACTGATCTGGTCCTGTGGAAACAGTCATTAGTCAGCCTCAGGTCAGGCTGCACTCACTACCTCATCTGCCAGGAGATTCTGGATGGCGGGTAGGGCCGGGGGATCTCCCCGGGCTCGGGTTTTGGTTTGGCGTCTGTTGGGCACCAAGTTAGGGGCCCCAGGCAGGACCAGCTGGCGGCCACTTGCCCATGGAGGGTCGTACTTCTCAAGAAAGGCTTTCTCAGCCTGCTGCCATGCGCTTCGGTTCGAGGCGAGTGTCCACCACTGCAGCCCTGCAACAGATCCGATTTGACGCTCAGGATCTCTGTCAGGGTCGTGATGGCCAATATGTCGCACCCCTTTTGGAGCTGGTCCAGGGGGCAGGCTCTGTTGGTCGCGCCACCAGGTGAGATCTCTCCACCTCAAAATGTGGAATGTGGGGGAGGATGGGGCACGGCCTATGTGCCCCCATAGGCTCCACTGCATCTGGAGGGCATGCGAAGACCACCTGACGAGCTTATGAAAGTGCAGCAGGGCCCTCGACTTACGCATGGTACGGGCGTTCCACTCTGGCCAGCTTTCTGTCGGGGCTCGCTTCCCCGTAAGCATGGTGCGGACTTGTAAGAGTTGCGTGCTATTTGCTGCCTGCAGGAGCGCTGCATTGACAGGCCATGCCGGACAGCCCCACAAAGCTGCACTGCGTACGAGGCATTGGTGCATGAGAAGTCGTTCTTTAATGGGTGCGTTGGAGCACAGAATCTTCTTATGGGCATGGAAAGCTCGCCTGGCACGGCCTTGCATTTCGGCAACAATGGGAGCAACATCCCCAGAGATGGAGATAGGCGCACCTAAGATCGTCATGAGGGCTTTGGGACCATCCGGGATAACAGGGACTCCCCCTATAAGGAAGCGGAAGGGGTCATCAACGCGGTTGGAGATGACCTGTGTCTTTTTAGGGTTGATGCTCAAGCCTAGAACCCTCAACCGCTTCTCGAGTTCAGTTAAAACCTTCTGGACGTATTCTGGGCTCTCTCCCCAAATGTACGTGTCATCCATGAAGGCTGCGCCTGAATGTGGAGGAGGCTCGAGGGCCTTGTGACGACCTACATGCGGAGGGTGCCCTCCATTCACAGCATGTAAGGTTGCATCCAAAGCCTCTCCTATCTGGGCCGCAAAAAGAACCGGGCTATCGGGGCTTCCCTGCCGTACCCCGTTTGTTTGGTCAATGCTGACGTGGCTATTTTGCACGTGGAAGCAAAGCTCTCGTGCTTCAAGCAGGCTAAGCCACAAGCGAGCTTCCCAGGGGAGGCCCCCCTTTCTGGCTATCTTGCGAACAACGAGCTCACCTAATTTCTCTTGAGCCACCGAGTCGAAGGCTTTGGCTATATCTATTTTCACTACGTAGAACGGTGTCTTCCACTCATGCGCGACACGCACAAGTTTACGTAATGCCAAGATCAGCTCGACGCCTTGCTTGCCTTTGCTTGCCCATTGGCGCTGACACGTGTCTTGTAGAAGGGGAACCCCCCTATGGAGCAAAAGCTGGGAGATCCACTTCAGGATAGCACTGGACAGTGTGATTGGCCGGGTCTCTGACCAGTTCGCTGGCAGCACACATTTGGGTAAAAGCACGGAGGCACCTTTCGCGGCTTCAGGGGGCAGTGCACCCCTATAAAAACTGTCATTGAGCAGCTCGCTCAATTTCGGCTGCCATCGTGGGTGGTCAAACATGACCCGCAACGCTTCCAAAGCTATCCCATCGGGACCGGTAGCTTTATGGTTCTTCCATTTGGCCATTGTAACACGCATCTCGGCTTCCGTGAACGGACGCCAGGGGCATTGCTTACATAGGAGTTCTGTCTCTTTCACGAGGAGTTCCATAGCACTCCTAGTGTGCGAGGGTGTCGCTTTGGTGAAAATGGACTCCATGTGTTTTTGTAGCTTTTCGGACCACGAGGGATCATCTAGGAGGCGGGCTGCCCAGTTGGTGTTCGCATCTTTATGCTTGAGCGACCTGAGAGCGTGCCAATCAAGCTGGCCTGCACGGTTGGCCAAAGACTGCTTCCACTGGCGTCTTTCCTGCTGGAGGCTCTTGGAAATGGCTTTCCATGCTTGCCTTGATGCAGGGCCCGCTGGTATGTGCTTGGCATCTCGACGCAATTGCTTAAGGGCAGGGCTCTCCCTGAACTTAGATGAGCGGTTGGCAGGCTGAGTGATCGCCTTAGCAGTCTGTGAGATCAGATAGTGCGGATCCCCCGGCCCTTGGGGTAACGTGTTGAGCAAGGCATCAACTCCTGGGTTGAGCTGGCGGGCACACCACATCACCTCTCTTTTCGGGCCTTGGGGAACAGGGAGAATCGCCTGGCTCAGGATGGGCTCATGGTCAGACGACGCTCTGTCTCTGAAATTGCCTACCTCCGCATTCAGAATTCGCATCCCTCTGGTGGCAATGTAATCAATGCGCCTCGGCTTCAGATCAGGGTTGTAGGGAAAATGTGAGGGGCAGTCGATATCCTGCTCCGGGATTGCGATATCATGCTCAAGACACCATTGGAGAATTTGTTCTCCTCTACCAGTACAGGATAACGTGGTGTCACCCAGGAACCCCCCTGGCTGCAAGAAGGTTTCATTCGCATCAAAGCCAAGCAAAACCTTGAACGACTTGAGGCATGGGGCATCACCCCAGCTCGACAGGGCTTCGGCTGTCTGTGCAATGCTGAACTTGTGCGACACATGACCTGAGATGAGCCCAATCGTCCTGTTGCCATGTAATCTCAGCTGGGTACTTATGGAAGCAGTGTGCAGTCGAGTAGACTGGTGCACGCCTAGGGTTTTAAGGAAAGCGATCCCACAACCCCGCCATTCCGACTCATGTTTGCCATGCAAGAGGATCCAGGAATCGTTAAATTCGAAATGGGGTCCCCCTTTGCAAGTGATCTCTTGGAGAAACACTATTTGCAAACGGGAGAGAGCAGGCGTACCCCGAAAGTTAGTGAGCAGGTCCAGGGTTGCCCCCGGGCTATGACCACCAAGGTTCCAGGTAGCGAAGTGCAGGTGGGCGGCTTCGTCTTGAGACCGCACCTCAGTCAAGTGAGACGGGAGGGGAAAATCCCCTGCTGCGAGTGCTTCGTCCAGTCACCTCAGCGCTGCGTGGAGTGGCTCCCACGCTTTCTCCAGCTGTTCTTTGTTGACCGAGAGGAGGCCAGCAATCTGCTGGAGGTCTATCCAGCCACATCCGGCCGCGGTGGACCCGGGCGGGCCTGCTGATGTTGCGGAGCTGATCTTCACGTTGCGGAACCATACTGTCCCGGTGGCCCACTCCGGTTCAATACTGTGCAAGGTGGAGGGACCACCTGCTTCGATGATGAGACGCTTGACCTTTCCTGCCAAAGCTGCACGGCGTCGGCGCTCAGGGGGTTGGCTCACCGTAAGCCATAACTTTGCTGGATTACCGTCAGGCTTACGTCCCAAATGGATGTTGGACGCATTGACCCGACGAATGCAAGCCTGGGCGCGTTGGCGCATGGCATCATCAGATTCTCCTTCATTAGGCGTCAAGGGGATCAGGACGAAGCCCCTGCGGACCCCTGGTACAAAAGCCTCCGACATATTGATTTGCAGTTGTAAGTCCCGAGCCATCTCATTGGCCTTTTGCAGGACGTCACTAGCGGGGCTGTCGGGGGACCATCCCCCCATGACGAGTGCCGGCACACGTCCAGACTCTGTAGTAGAGGGCGTACTCCCCGAGGACTGGATGGTTTTGACTGTGCCCTCGAGCTGCGAGATTCTTCCAGCCAGAATCTTAGAATCTGATGCCAATTCTGCAATGCGAAGTCCTTGGTCAGCTTGTCCGGTGGAGAGAGTTTCCACCGCTTGAAAGCTACGATCATTATGCTGCTGAAGATTCTTCTCCAATGCCGCGACTCTGTCACTCATGCCTGCCACTGCGCCCTGAATTTCCCCTCGTACAACATCACGAATGGCATCGAGGCTGAGGGGTTGCTCTTCTTGAATTCCCCTTTTTCGCGCAGGGGACTCATTCTTGGCCTGGGCATTGACATCCATAGGTTCTGCCATCTTCAAGTTGAGAATCGTGTACTGGCGCTGGAACACCTGTAGGTTCGCCGTTCACCCGGACGACGAGGGTTGACAAAGTCCTCGTGGGACTGGGCAAGGATCTCGGTCAGGTGCGTTGCACACCTAGGTCGTCGGCAGTAGCGATGAGCTGGTTCCGGGCACAGATAACCCCCTTGGTGTTCAGCAATCGCAAAGAGGAGAGAAGCGGCTCGCGGAGAGATGCAAAAGCGCCCGGGTTGAGAAGGACGGGGGGCCGATTCCGAGAAGCGGAGCGAGACGAAAGAAAGAAAGAAAGAAAGGGGCAGAGTGGCCCCCCGCCTCCTTGAACCACTCGCGGCTTGAGCCAAAATGGCTACGGGCCCCTCTCTCTCTCTCTCTCTCTATCTCTCCTCTCTCTGCTGAAGTAGCACCAGCTAAAACAACACCTCGGCCTGTTACTTTAGCTACGAAGCCGGAAGCAGCAGGACGCTCTCACGATCAGGTCTGACGGCAGTTTTCAAGCAGCAAATTGCTGGAAGCTCTCCCTTGCATCCAGCCCAAAGCAATCCAAGCCACAGGCCGCTCAGGATGAAGCGGCGCAAGAAAGCGTAGCTCCGGCCTTCTGTGATCAGCCGGGACAGGATAGCGCCCATGGGCTGCAAAACCTGTCACAGCAGCTTGTCGAGTGCTCCAGAAGCAAAGGCAGCTGTGGGGTGGCGCAGAACGGTAAAGGCTCATCCTCAACACGACCGGTGACTGGCCCTATAATCCTAGTCAGCTCTGTGGGACTGCAGCACAAGCAGCAGCGGAGCTGCTGGGCTCAACTTTCTGCTGCACAAGCGTAGCCGAACTGTTGCCGGCTATGCAGCATCCGAACAGTATCTGACACGGCACGTCTTTTTCAGGGGGCCTGCGGTGCAGAGAGCAAGAATCCAGAAGATACCGCTCCATACCCAAGCCTTGGTTGCCAAAGGAAGAAGACTAGAGGAGCGCTTCCCCTTCTCCGGCGGGAGGGGTTGGACTCGCACCTGAGACCATGGAGAATTCCGTGCTAGCAGCTTCCGTTCCAGGAGCTGCTCTGCGACTGACAGGGAGATGGTCTAAGCAACGCCTTCGCCCCGCCCTTAAGCTTGCGTTCTCCCCCTATGTAACCTGGACAAGCCAAGTCTCTGTTGCACCAGGTCGTAAGACACAGGGGTAAGAATTGTCATGTCCTGAGAACTGGACCCGCAATGCCAGGCCAGCGTGCCAGTGCCCTCTCCGTGTCTGGACTGTGCGGCTTGCTCACAAATGTGCAAGGTTCCAAACCATGCTGCTAGCATATTTGGCGCGGCTTCCTTGCAACTTATGGCTACCTCCGGCCTGTGGACGAGATTTACCTGCTGCCGCGCACGCTCCGAACTCAGCACGGCTGACATCAACAACAAGATCCCAGGTTTATTCTGAGCGGCTATGGTAGCGAGGACCCACTGCCCAAGCCAGACAACACGAAGAGCTCGTCGGTCAGAGGACAGGATCCCACCCGTCTGCAGCAGAGGCGAGAGAGTGGGGTGGAATCTCCAGCACCAAATCCAAAAAGACAAGAACTGCGCATTCTGCGCCTGGTCTGCTTCTTGCTTTGGGCTTTCCAGGCAAAGGCTGCTGGTTGACTAGTGCCTTTCGAGGTGCTCAACCGATTCTCCCCAAGAAACGGCAAGCCGTCAGGTTCAGCATGGTTCAGCGCAAACCCATCTCCAAAACCCGGAACTGACCTGGAATCCCGAGCCTTGCAGCCAGAGGCTTCGAGAAACACGGGGATCAGCAGGCAACTGACCTTCCATGGAGCGCAGGCGCTGGCTGGCTGCCCGGCTTGCATCATTCGTGGCCGGCAACCTTCAACCGCCTGAAAACGACCTGCCGAACCACCTGAAAGACTGCACATGGCCACAGGACACAGAATCTGACTCGTGGAAAGCAATGGCCGCAACACGACCCACTGGACCCTACAAGCCCCTCAATGGATCCCAAAGAAACAGAGGAAGACCCACGGGCATGGCACAGAGAGTAACATCGTGGCCACAGAGAAGCCGCCATTGATGGCCTCCGGCGGTAGGGATTCGGACTTCTCGGTAACTCCATGATTGCCAGGCTGGGAAGAACAAGGATCACGGGACTCCCTAAAACTGACCGTTGTATTACCGTATAACTACGTCTAGGAATTGTGACGGTATCCACAAATTGCGGATCCTTAATCCGGTAACTTCAGGTGTGGGCAAGAGCGAATGATTATCATGTACATCGCGGTGACTGTGAAGCAAACCATCGTCGCTGTGGTTGTCTTTGCTGCTGCTGCTGCTGCTTCTGCTCCTGCTCCTGACGCCTACTGCTAGTCATTAGTCGCCATCACTGCGCTGCTGGCCGCTGCGATCCGCAGTCTCAAAGATAGAAGTCTTCTTGTAAAGGCCATCGATACCATATGCATCCAGAATGACCTGAAGCACTCGAGGGCTAGAGAAGATTGCACCTGACAGACTGCCACCGTTTCCCACACCCTTTAGATCGTGCATAATCCTCGTACGAGCTTCGTCCTCTTCTTCCTTCGGGCATAGAGGGCTGTTAAGGTTTTCCGGGCTCTAGGCCCCCCCGTTTGCTGTCCGGGGCTTTTGGAAGGGCGCGAAAACTCGGAGTGGGAAGTCACCAAAGTTCATAACAACCTTGATGCCTGCATCACTCACCGTAACGTTAAAACCCGATTCGCGGGGCTGAAAAAAACATGCATCGGCTTGGATAACATGACAGCGGAGTGAAAAGTCGAATTGGTCAGCTCCCCCGTTTTAGGAAATGGTTTAGTTACTTGGTTGAAGAACAATACGTAGCTTCGTCCTCTCTCGCTCTCTCTCTCCCTGCCGCTGCATCCATCTAGCTCTACACCAATCTACCTCAGAGCACAAGCACTGGCGCCTCCAAAAGGTGACCGGAGCCCAGAAGCTCAAAAACCGATGTGCGAAGCTCTTGCCTTGGGGTGACTCGTGGCTTGACTCTGAAGGCAAATACTACTCTGAAGGCAAATGCTGTCCAGTCATCAACCATTCGTCCTAAACTTCCGCATGTAAACCTAAGCACGAAGACTGTAAAAGCACCTCCACACTCACAACAAACAAGAACAGGGCATAGTAGAAACGAGAGACCCATCATGGCATCAATAGCAATCGCAATCAACGTAGTCATTTCCAGAACCATGGTTGTCGACATCGCCATCGTCCTAAAACCATGAGCAAAATCATATTATTCTTCACCGGCGATCTCCGATGATATCGTCGCAAGAAGGATTCAAAACAACACTATGTAAACTCGAAACATAAGACATGTTCAGGTGGCTAATTCTGAGTACAAGTAGCATGTACTAGCCCCTAGTCTGTGACCTCCTCGTTTAGCAAGATGAAGCTGTCGCATGGCAATACAGTGATCTTTTCAATCCTCTCTCCTTCGACTCGTTCAGCACAGTACAAGGTGTGCAGAGCCCGAATACGAAACTGCAAAGGGGATTGCTAAAGATGTCAAGGGAATTAATTACTCCAATTAAAGCCAGAGTCAAGACCGTCGCCGTCCTCTTTCGATCGACCGTCGCCGTCCTCTTTCGATCGATCTCTCGCACGTAGTTTAGAGGGTTGCAGTCGAGACGAAGTTGCTTGCCAGGACACTCGGCGGTGGAGGCCACGGCCACCACATCTTCCAAGCCGACCTCTTGTACCAGCTTGCGCCCGCGCTGCTGCAGCAAGCACAAGCTGGCCATCTCAATTAGCCAGAATGTATACTGGCATTGAAGCGGCGGTTAGGGGCCTTCGGAAAACAACATGCAATTCGCTTTGAGCAATAGAAAGCTCATGGTGGAACCGGCGTTGTCAAATGCGTGTCCTCGCAAGGTACCGAAAGGAAGATTTCTTCACATGCATCCGCAAGCAAGACTTGCAAACCGTTGCTATCAGAGACAACCGTCGCGTCGGACCGAGCTCTGGTTCGACGACAAACCCTCCCACAGCTATCCCTCATAACCTCACAACCAATCCAACCGTCTGGCTTAAGGAGTCTGTGCCCATCCGATGAACGGCTTGCGGAGCACGTGTAACTTCCCTGCGACTGACTAATTACAACGAACACTGTGGACCGACTAGCTCTCGTCTTCTTCTCCAGGGCATGGGGGACGGGTTGAGTCACCAGGCCACTTGGGACTCCGCGGAGGTGAAATAACACTCGCCTCTTCACTTCACTCGGGGGTCCAGGAAGCTGGTGAGGCGCCCCGCACCGAGAGGTGCGCCCCTGTTGTCAGGCCTTTTGGGGGGACAGTGAAAACCCACGATCGCCGGTAAAAAGCTCTCCCGCTCTCTCTCGCTACAAGTATCTTCATTGAGGCCAGTGCTCTTCACTATGCCCACGAAGCCAATCTGAACAGATCTACTTCGCCAGCATCACCTCGCCTTCTGAGCCCACTCTCAGCTGGCAGAATATGCAAAAAACACTCACACTTCCTGATCTCGAAGTGAACCGTGCTTGCGCATCCCCGAAGGCGGACAAATCGGAGCTCCTTGATCTTCTGCGCTTTCTCCTGGCATGAAGCACCAGCACTGTGCCGAAATTCTTGAATGCAGAAGGGCCGAAGAGTAGGTCATGCGCATCTGTTAACCCCGGCTACAGACCGACGAACAGCAGATCGGAATCGGAACATTGAGTCAGAGGCCGACAAACCTGAAACTCGATGGAAAAGCTGCGGTGTCGCTTGATGTCGTTTTGTCGGCATGAAATCAAGCGAATCACGTGGCCAGGCACGCAGACAGACATCACGGCCGAACGCGCTGCCAGACTAGGAGCGGATCTCGGAGTACCCCAGGCACCAGGCCGAAAATAATCCCGGCATGCGGCCTTCAACCACACATCGAGCTCGCCAGTCTCGCTCTTGGCCTAGCTGTCGAAGTGGCGCAAGGACTATCAGTGGCCTAGGATAAGGCTTGACCTGCCTTCTACTAGGTCAGAAGTCCAAAGCATGTCAATCAAGCCCATTTCACCCAGCCAGCAGACATCAG